GGGGGGGGGGGCATTGGTCGGGATGCGGCGGGCCAGAGGGTTGCAGTGATGATATAATGAAGACGTTGGTGTCGTACATCATGTGGTCAGAAAAAATATCGAAACGAATAAGCGTACAGCCTCTAACTCGACCCGGATAAACACTCAACACTAGAACCCAGCCGCTGATCGCCCCAGGGCGCTAAAAACCTCTCCCAAAGGGCGCAAAAAACGAAGTTATGGATAACATCGGTGATGTCCTGTCTGCTCGGCAACCCATGGACATAGAACGACAGCCGCGGCCCAACGCATTTATTTTTTTGAGTAATGGTGGTGACGGCTGCTCCCTCACTTCCTAGCGGGCTCTTCGGCGCGCCTTCCCGCCAGGAGACGCCCCACGTGATCAACCCCCATCCCGCTCCTTTTCCCGCGTCGACCGGGAGCCGGGAGGCTAGATGGCCAAGCGTACTCGTCCATGTACTCCGTCAGTATCGACTGCTCACAGGGCGGGGTTGAAGACAAAAAAAGGCGGCAGGCATGACATCATCCACGGTTAGCCAGTAACGGCCCCAGCTGCATGATCAAGAGGAACGATGACAGCAAAGTGCGCCGTGAGTCGCACAAGAAGGAAAGCAAAATACTCTCCTCATCAATTGGCCAAACTAACGACGGAGAAAATCATGATGATCGCGGGATTCGGAGGAACGTCAGCAGCAAGGCTCGCCCACATAACTAGACGACTACACCCAGCGCGCACAAGATTGGGACACAGCTGCTGTCGTTGGCGGCAATGGTGGCATATTATCAAGTAGCAATATCCTCCCTCGAGGGGTGTAGCAACACCGGGCAAGTCAGGTGAAAAAGAAACAACTCAAAGTTGACGAGCTCGCAGGCATGCCGCAGATAACTGCTCTCCAAAGTACGTTGCCGAAGAAAGCGCTCCCACCACACAAGCGCCGCAAACACCAACAGCAGTAAGTAGCCCGCATTGCTGCTGCATCTGGGCGCAACGTCGAAGGTCAGGGGCCTAAAAAGCGTCTAGATAGCGCACAGAAACACCGCCCAAGGAAATAGGAGCTCCAATCCAGAGGAAAACAACGATGGGCCGCTACCGTTCAAGCCATACCACCACGGAGCCCACGCGATGGCAACCAATCCCAACGAACGAACAAGCCTCGCCAACACCACTCCATCCTTGCACCTGGGAGGAGAAGTCCAGTGTCCTCCCGCCAGACATCGTCGTGACCTCGCCGCGCCCCACCGCCTCGCCTCTCCACACCTCTGCCGCCGCCACATCTCCCGCCGACCCAATTAAAGTTGCTCCCCCCGCCATGGACGAGCCCCCCACATCCGCCGCCCTCGAAGGCCAGCCGCCATCAGCTTCGCTTCCCCTACCCGCCTCCCACTCCTTCTCGTCGTAGACGCTGCTTGCCCTGCTGGTGCGGTGACCGATGACCTCCAGCCCCGAGGTCTGCTCCGAGGGGGGCGGCGATCCCACCGCGGAGCCCCCCCTCCGCCACGCCTCCTGGCGAGCGCCTTCTTTCCTGTCGTCCCCCCGCTTTCCCGCAGCGAACGGCACTACAGCAGCAGCTCCACCACCGCCACGACCGCCACGACCGCCACCACCACCACCACGACCGCCGCCACCGGCCATTTCGAGATCCCCTCCCGGGAGTCTGCCCGTCCCGGCTCTTCTACCGTCACTGGGCGATCCTTCTCCTCCCCGGCCCGCTGCTGCTGTGTCCACCGACGACGACGACGGCCGTCGCCGTCGCCGCTCCTCACCCCCCACTCCGCCCCCATCCCGAGGATAACCTGCTGCCGCACGACCGCGGGGGGGCTCGCTCCCACCACGGCCGCGGGCAACGGCACTCCCCCCTTGACGCCGGTCACTGCCGGCGCCGCCGCCCTCGGCCCTACTGCCGGCGCCTCGAGCAGACGCCCGTCTACCCCGTGGATGCGGTGGCGGAGGCGCGCCGTTAAACGCATCATCATCCACCGTTCCCAAGAACGCCGACCGCGGCGGCCATGGAAACCTGTCCTGGTACTCCGAGTGGATCGGGCCCCTCGACAGACGCCTCGACCACTGGGCCTTCCACGCGTCCGCATCCTCCTCTCCCTCCTCCTCCTCCGCCCCCCATGACCGACCGCCGTCGTCCATCCCGAGGTCTGCGGACAACCGGCCTCCCTTTATCCGCGGTCCGCCAGCAGCGGGAGCGGGGCTCGACGCCAAGTCTGCAGAAGAGAGAGATTTTCTCGCCCCACCGCCGCTAACCCCCCCCGCCCCGCCGCCGCCGCGGCGGCGAGATGCCGGGGATCCCGGCTCAGCCATCCAGGAGAAGTTGGGAGGCGGGCGAGGGCGAGGGGGGGTGACCGCGCCGGCTCTTGGCCAGGCGTGTTTTTCCTCCCTGAAGCGGCTTGGCGAGCTGCTTGTTTGTGATTTATGCCAGGGTCAGTGGGGGGGGGGGTGTACTCATAGTCGTGCATGCCGTAGTCGTTTGACCATTGACCTCGCATCCCTACAAAGCCGGGACGGAGCACGCCGGGTTCTCACCGGACCAGGCTCTCACATCACCAAGCGCGAAGCGCCGTGAGGTATTTGGCGAGTCGCATGAAGGGTGAGCTGCATCCTGCTAAGGTTGTTCGGCATCTTGTGCTTACTTCCTTGCGTACGGATGACAGCTACGTATGACTTAATTTATTTTCTGGTGCTTTCACTTCCAGAGACAGTTGTAAGCACTGTGTAACTGCCTCGAGGAAGCTTGACCATTTTAACACAACGTGGTGCGATCATCCCCCGTTGCGCGGAGTGAGGTTTCTCGACCCCGCACAACATGATCTACTCGACCACCATTATGGTTACCGCCAAAAAAAAAAAAACCGAGGTAAAAAAAAAAAAAACGGTAACCTGGTTGCCGAGTTCACGAAGTGAATTGGCTTGTTTTACAACGTCGTTGCCAAGCGACGAAAACCCAATTCCGATGGCAAACACCGAGTGGGGGGCTTGTTTTACAACGTCGTTGCCAGGCGACGAAAACCCAAACCCCGATGGCAAACACCGGGGGGGGGCGGCTTGTTTTACAACGTCGTTGCCAAGCGACGAAAACCCAACCCCGATGGCAAACACCCGGGGGGGGGGAAGGGGGGGCGAAAGGGCGGGTAAAGGATGACGCAGGGCTATTGGTTTGAGCCGATGGGGACTTCCGGCAACACACGCTTCCCGCGGAAAGGGGCTCAGTGAAAAAAACTCCGGTGTAGTGCACGAAAGAGAGCTTGAGACCTTGTAGAGGCGACCTCGGCATGAGTGTTGGCACTCATGCGCCTGTTCGAACACAGCAACGGTACATGGCACCCCTCTGGACAGAAGCGTCGATACCCTTGGTATACACGGCCGTTGCTTCAAGCCTCACGGGAAACGTAGCCATGTTCGTACGTATTCTGCGACGGCGGGTACACCGGCGACGCCGCTCGATAAAAAAAATTACAACGGGAGCCACGTTGACCGGCCGCCTTTCGCATCCAAAAAAAGCTCCCACGCTCAGGATGACAACACCAACAACAACCGTCATGGCATCATCACAACCCAAAAAACATCGGAACCACTAAAAAAGAACAACCGTAAGAGGCGGAGAGATGGCACCCCTCCTACACCGATTTTCAAAAGCTCGCTCGCTCCCTGACCAACGAGTGTGCCAACACCAAAAATGGTGGCTTTGGAACCATCTCGTTAAGGGCTTTCCGTAGAATTGCGGGTCTCTTTCCGCGCCTCGTTGGTTGTGGAGCAAAATCGAGCTTTGAAAGTCGCTCTAGGGGGGGGTGCCATCTCTCCGCCTCTTACGGAACATAGACATGACGTGTGGCATTGGGCGTGTATTGAATTGTTTGTCTTTGGGTATTTTTTAGTTTCAGTTTTGGGGGACACAATATAGACTCCGGGTAGTAGTGTAGCACGAAAAAGGAAAAAAAAAAATCCTCTCACAATGGGGGCATCGTCACGTCAACCGCGGCTCCCGCCGGAGGGCTTCCCCTTGCCTCCCCCACCGAACCGCCCTCTTCCGACATCCCAAGTGACGGGCCCCACGCGGGAACCCCACTCCCCGTATCACCGGCATCCGAGTGGCGCTTGTCAGGTCGAAACTGCCGTGTTTCGTGCGAAACGCAGACAGATGACGCAGACAACAACGGTATTGTCGACGGGAAGGAGGGATTGAGAGCAGTGCGCCACAAACATAGGCCGTTCACGTAGCTTGAGGAGTGGCAAACGGACAGAAAATTAACGTGCATTGATGTGCAGCTAGGATGGTGGTTCCAGGGCGGGGGGGCGGGGGGGGCGGATGACGCGGCAACAGTGTCTACCAATGGCAGACTTCGTCCAAAATTTTACTGGTCGAAATGTAGGTATACCGAAGGGTACTAATACCCGGTGGTGCTGTACTACGTACCGTGTCTAGAGCGGTGCTGTGCTCCAGTAGCTTGTCCATGTAGATCTTGAAGTCCTTCCTAGCGGACATCAAGACAGCGGACGGACGGACGGACGGACGGGGGGGCGTGAGCTACGGA